AGTATGTGAAGTTATTTCTTTTTTCTTTCAGTTTTTCCCCCTTTGCTTTATTCCCTGCTGTCACTGTATTTGATTTTGGTACCTGGTGTCTTGTATATATGTTTATTTAAATTTGGAAAGGGAAGGGCAACAACAAAATGGTGAGACAAAGGACAAAGGGAGAACCAATGAAACAGTGATACTCACAAGACACTATGTTGGAAATGAACTTTACAACGTGGGGAGAGGGAAAGGGAAAGTGAGAAAAAACGAGGGAGGAGATAACAATGTTGGACAAGAAATGTGCTCATTACCTTACACATGTAACTGTACATCCCCTAGACAATAAAATGAAAAAAGAATATATAATAAGGTCTAGTGAGGGTCTTAACATCACTGAGGGCCTACTATCAAAGAGAACTTTAGGATCTTCGTCTCTACTCTTCTATGCTTCTTACTCATGAGGTTTTTCTGCCACATACTTCACAATGATGTGCTGCTATAAGCTATAAACAATGGGAATACAGATCAGAGATTGAGACTCCCTAAAACTGTGACTCAAACCCTTTTTTTAAATAAATGGATTATATGAGGTGTTTGTTCCAATAACAAAAAGATGACTAACATCTAAAGTAACTATCACATAAATTTAGAGTTTGTATTATATAATCTATAAAATAAACCTATAGAAGATATAGATTAAAATGATTAGGATGAAGAAACACAACATCTAAGATAATGGTAGTTTGCCTTGTGTTTCTTTTTCCTTAAAGGAGCCTGTCTAAACATCTATTAAAAAAAAAAAAATCCAGGCCAGGCCATGGTGGCTCATGCCTGTAATCCTAGCTACTCAGGAGGCTGACATCTGAGGATCATGATTCAAAGCCAGTTCGGGCAGGAAAGTCTATGAGACTTTGAACTCCAGAACTGGTACTGTAGCTTAAGTGGTAGAGTGCTAGCCTTGAGCTAAAGAAGGGACAGCGCTCAGGCCCAGAGTTCAAGACCATGACCAACAAAACATCCCGACCTGCAACATATGGCACATTAGAACAAATAACGCGGACTTGGTTTTTAAATGTCCTTTTTTACCCCATTAAAAAAAAAAAGGATTGTTCTTTGACATTTACTTTAATATTGGGTACAAGAATGTGCAATGAAAATTAATTACTACGTAGTTGTTCAAAAGATAAATGAAAACCTGAATAGCTAAGCACCCACGGAGTTCTCTCAAAGCCATTTAAAAGCAAGTATTCTTCAAACTGTAATTTAAGAATCAAGAATAAGGAAGGAAAGCATTAGTAACTATGTTATTTTTCTAGGTGATGCCAAAATGAGAGCAATTTTCAGCCCATAGAGTTTATTCTTAAAGATCTCAAAGATAAATTAACTCCCTATATGCATGTACATTTGCCATAATCAAAGTAGATTAGTGAGAATAATATGAATATATCTTGTACCTAATTCACTCAGATTTCCTTATGTTGTTCACTGAGTCATAAGAACTATGTCTCTCATCAAATTGAAGATCTGCATAAATACATAAGATTTCAGTTATTATGACTTAAGAAATATAGTCTCTTGGGGCTGGCAATGTGGCTTAGTGGTACAGTGCTTGCCTAGAATGCATGAAGCCTTGGGTTTGATTCCTCAGTATCACATAAACAGAAAAAGTGGCACTGTGGCTCAAGTGGTAGAGTGCTAGCTTTGAGCAAAAGAAGCTCAGAGACAAGCTCAGGCCCTGAGTTCAAGACCCAGGACTGGCAAAAAAAAAAGGAAGAAATATTGTCTCGAAGTTGATTGGGCTAAATTATTATGCATATGCACTCTACCTTTGAACTATATTCCCAACCCTACAATGGGATTTCTGGAAACACAATAGCATGCTTTAAAACAGGCTTACATATGCTGCCACAACTCCCATTCCTCTACAAAGTAACAATTTAGTAAATGTTTAATACTTGGTGGTTATTTTATTATAATCAAGTTGACCATACATATAATTTAATAACAAATATTTACTTATCACTTATCAATGTCAAACAAAAATTTCTATTATTTAGGCTGTCCTATTTGACTTCATGCATATTTGCATAAATTTTACCAAGTGATTCTTTAAAGTATACTCACAGGAAGCTCACCTTGTTTTGAGCACCGTGGTCAGATATACCCTTTAAGCATCATTATCCGCTCAATCTAAAAGTCCTCTAGATCTCAGTTAGGATACACATCACATTCAACTGACAATGGGGTAAGGAACAATTCACAAACTATGTAGAACTCTAAGTTGGAGTCTTTGGGGACAAAGCTTGAAAATAGTTAACAAAATTTCATATATACATAGTTTGACCTAGAAATTTCCACATGAATCTATCCAAAACGAATACCAGTATTGGTGAATCAAGATCTAGAACCAAAGAAAAATGTACATTGTCAGAAAGTGGAAGAAATGAGCATGTGTAGAAAGAGGTCTCACACACATTGTCCTGTGTTTCTATACTTAGAAAGATCCACCGGACCTTGGCTAGTGGGCTAGAATGAAAACTTAGATGGTAAACAGTAGCTTACATTAATGCAATGCTTTCCTTACAAACCTAAAGCAGAGTACATGACACCATCAGAACTGATGCTGTACACCACAGGCCATAGACAATTGGTACTGGGACTCAAAATAAACTGGCTTCAAAATAAACTTTCTATCCTAGCTATTCATGAGGCTGACATATGAGGATCAGGTTTAAAGCCAGTTCTCTCCAGCTAACTACCAAAAAGCCAGAAGTGGAGCTGTGATGCAAGTGGTAGAGTGCCAACCTTGAGTGATAAAGCTAAATGAGGGCTGGGGTTGGAGGCATAACTCAGATGGTAGAGTGCCAGCTAATGAGTGAAAGTATCAGATGCCAAGTCCCAGTCTTGGACAAAAAAAAAAGAAAAAAGGCTAAGGGACAGCACCTTGGTCCTCAGTACCAGCATGAAACAAAACAAAAACCTATCTCATCTTTTTGGTGATACTGGGATTGGAACTCAGGTCCTCTTGCTTGCTAGGCTAGTGATCTACTGTAACTTAAACCACACTTCCAACTCTTTTTTGTTGAGATAGGGTTTTACAAACTTTTCTGCCTTAGTTAGTCTTAAATTACAATTCTCAGCTTCCCAAATACCTACAATTATAAGTAGGAGCCAGATTACAAGTGGAAGTTACCAGTGCTTTATTAAGGTTTTTATTTTATTTTTTCACAATTTTGAAGTTAGAGCTCAGGGCCTCAAGCTTGCTAGAGACTCCCCAGACCAGTTTAAGCCATTCTGAAATGGTGTTTCACTGCTTGTACTCAAAAGTACGTCTCTGGGAAGTAGAGGTATGGCTCAAGTGGTAGAGTGTCAAGACTGAAAAAGGTCAAGCAAGAATACAAGGCTCGACGTTCAAAACCTAATTATTAGCATACACACACACACACACACACACACACACACACAAACACACACCCCAAAAGTACCTCTCTAAGCTTCTATGAACTTCTATTCCTGCTGGCTTATACAAAAAGACACTAAATGGAAAGGCCTCATTTGGATTTATACAAAGATGTATCACTTACTTTGTGAATTTGAGTAAGGCACTATCATCATGATGCAGTTTCTTCATTGTGCAAGTGAAATGACACCATGTATTTTGTAAAAAATAAATTCAACTCACTGTATTAGCTGTGCAATGATGGTAAAGAATTTCTAGCAAATAACACAGTATTCGGGGACTGATCACAGATCTACACCTGCAGATGTCTGTCCCACCCCTGCTGAGTGCCTACACTGTGGAAGCTGCTCCATCTGTTTCCACACATAGTTGGTCTGTCCAGGAAAGCAACCCCGTTTAGTAGCTAATGTGACAGCATGAACTTTAATAAGTCCATATTCTGAGCAGAAAAGATTATATAAATGATACATTTTTCACCTATGGGACCCTCTTAGATTTTTACTGAATCAATAACCCAGATTTAAATTACTGAATCACACAAAACATCATGAAGCACAATCAAGTGTAAGACAAGTGGGTCACAAAAGTAGACGTGGAGACAGTCCCTTGGCAGCAAACACTGTTCAGACAGTCTTCACTTAAATGTCTGGAATAAGAAATTAAAGCTGGGCACTGGTGGCTCACAAGCGTAATCCTAGCTACTCAGGAAGCTGAGATCTCAGGATTGCAGTTTGACGCCAGTCCCAACAAGAAAGTCCATTAGACTTTTATCTACAATTAACCACTCAAAAACTGGAAGTGGTGCTGTGGCTCAAAGTGGTAGTCTTGAGCAAAAGAGCTCAGAGACAGCCCCTAGGCTTGAGTTTAACCCCCATGACTGGCAAAAAAAAAGAAAAAAGAGAAAAAAAATCAAAAGGGGCATATTTATGAAGCAATAGAAATCTCTTCTGTAATTACCACTGAGTCTAAGAGATTATTAAAGGTTTGTGTCAGAAAATCAGTACTTAAGTATTACATTTTAACAATTTATTGACTCATAATACATGGATACATACATATATATAAATATATATACAAATTCCACAAACATACAAGTATACATTTATTTATATTAGAAAAAGAGGAACTTGAAAACAAACACTAAATAATATGTAATTAGCTGAACATGATGGTGCACATCTGTAATCCTAGTATTCAGAAGGGTCAAAAGTTCAGGGCCAACCTGAACTATGTAATTGGACCCTGTCCCAAAAGAAAAAAAAAGGAAATTTAAAAAATAAAGAATAGGGCTGGGAATATAGCTTAGTGGCAAGGTTGAGTGCTTACCTCGTATGCATGAAGCCCTGGGTTCCATTCCTCAGTACCATATAAACAGAAAAGGCCATATAAACAGAAAATAGCACTGTGGCTCAAATGGCAGAGTGCTAGCCTTTAGCAAAAGAAGCTCAGAAACAGTGCCCAGGCCCTGAGTTCAAGCTCCAGGACTGGCAAAAGACAAAAATAAAATAATAATAGTTACCAACATTATTAACTATGTGTATTTCACAAATCACAAAAATGAGGTAAGGCAAAATTTTATTACACAAAACCATATAATACACAAAATAGTAAATGTGCATAATATACAAATTTATTACAAAATTATAAACACAAAAGCGTTTTATATATTTCAAGAAAAGACTTTAAATAATATAGACTAGTTAATATTACCAGTACTATATCCAGATCATGTCATAAAGGTTTTAAAATACAGTAATGATGTGGAATAAATAGGATCCTTTCTAGATATCACATTCTAAAAGCAAACTTTACCTTCATTTAAGTATATTTTGTAAAAGAAAATTTGTTAAAAAGCTATTTGTTAAAAAGCTATTCCCATTTCAAAGAAATAACTTTTACTTCCCCAGAAAATTATTTGTAATACCGACAGTCTTCCTGTTTGATACACAAAACACAAATCTTTTCTTCAGTCAGCTCAAAATGTGAAACTCTGTACCAGGCTCCTGGTTCAACGCTTTCTTTTCCTCTTCAGTGCAGTGAACCCTACAGACATAAAGTTCAGAAGTTTGTCAATTTGAAAAATCCTGACACTTAAATGATAACACTGCTGATTTGAAATATGTATGTTTAACTGGTATATATGTATAACTTTAACAGTGAAGATCCATTTAAGAAATTTTAAACCTCCCCTGCTCAAGAATCTTTTTCCAAAATGACACTAATTCTGTTAATGTATGCTAATTAAAAATAAGGTTTTAAAATGTTGTTGTAATATACACTAGTAACTGAAAGCAGAAATGGCCGCAGGTGTGGCTCAAGTAGTAGAACTGCCTAGTTAAGGGGAAGGGTCTGAGTACTCCAGTACTGCCAAAAAAATAAAATCTCCCAAACTTAACTCTCTCCATTGATCTCGGTCTTACAGTCATTGATCTATTGAGAGAGTGTCTCTTACTCACTCCAGATCCAACTCAATAGTAAATAAGTCACTTGAAGGTGTTGCCCTTCCTATAAGCAGCAAGGACCCAGGGCAGCAGATCTGAAAGGCATCTAAGTCAGTACAAAGAGAGATAAAGTGACTGCAGTTTCAGTTTCACTATAATTCAACCTGAAACACAATGAAAAATGTTGGTACTATACATCTTTCCAGTTACGATAACAGATGCCATACCTGTACTCAAATAGTATCAAACTGTAATAAAAGATACAAAGTCAGGAATGTTAGGAATGATATGATGAAAAGAAATAGAAAGCAGAAGGCTGGGAAGGTGGCTTAGTGGTAGAGCGCTTGCCTTGCATGCATGAGGCCCTGGGTTCGATTCCTCAGCAGAAGAAGCCGGAAGTGGCACTGTGGCTCAAGTGGTAGAGCGCTAGCCTTGAGCTGAAGAGCTGAAGAGCTGAGGGACAGCGCCCAGGCCCAGAGTTCAGGCTCCATGACCAACAACAACAAAAAAGAAATAGAAAGCAGAAAGAAAGGGATTCCTGGAAGAGTGGCAGCCAGGCTGAAAAGTCCATCCATTAGGTCAACAGAGCAAGCATTGTGCAGAACACAGCAGGGTAGAGGTCTGGAGACCTTCTTTTTTTGTCTTTTTTTTGTTGGTCTTGGGGCTTGAACTCTGGGCCTAGGCTCTGTTCCTCAGCTCTTTCGCTCAAGGCAAGCGCTCTACCACTTGAGCTACAGCACCACTTCCAGTTTTCTGTGGTTTTATTGGAGATAAGAGTTTCATGGACTTTCCTGCCCAGGCTGGCTTTGAACCGCGATCCTCAGATCTCAGCCTTCCGAGTAGCTAGGATTACAGGTGTGAGCCACCCGGTGCCTGGCCTGGAGATCTTCTTTAAGACAATTAAACTGACAATAGCTAATGGGCATCCAGATCAATTCATTTACTCTGTCATTATCCACTTCAAGTATCATGACTAATGGTATGATTAATTCTGAAATTCCCCAATGAACCAAAGATAAACAGGATCATAAGAACAGAGGGTCATGTTTTTCAAGAGTTCTAAGCCTTGAGGCTCTACAACCGTAAGAGTCCTTCACTAACTTAAACAAAATTCCTCTGTACCTGTCTCGCTGAAACTGTCGGTCTCCTCTTCCTCTTCTGTAATTACGGGCATACTCAGATGTAAAGACTTTCCTTCCTTAAGTGTATTCTGTACATTACCTGAAAATATTTAAAGAGAGATTAAGAAAGACATATAATAAAACAAGAACTATTACTTCTTTTTTTTTGTACTGGTCCTGGGGCTTGACCTCAAAGCCTAGGCATTGTTCTTGAGCTCTTTTACTCAAGGCTAGTGTTCTACTACTTGAGCCATACTCATTTCCAGCTTTTTGGTGGTTAATTGGAGATAAAAGAGTCTCATGAACTTTCTTGCTTCAAACCATGATCCTCAGATCTCAAGACACCCAAATAGCTAGGATTATAGGCAGGAGCCTCCAATTTCTAGCTAATAACTATTACTCTAAAAGAAGACATTCTACATACATGTCATTCTAACAGTATAAAAATTAAATGTCTATTTCACAATAAAAATTAATTAATTAAATGTCTAAACTAAGAACCGAAATTATAACCCATTCTAAACGCATATTTTAAGTATCAGTATATTTGTATCTGTTATATGTATGTTTGTGTATTAGTATATTAGTATCTATGATATGAAAATAGTCCTAACTTCCTCCACTTTTTCCACTAAAGAAAAGTGGAAGCCGGGTGCCAGTGTCTCATGCCTATAATCCTAGCTACTCCAGAGGCTGAGATCTGAGGATCACAGTTCAAAGCCAGCCCAGGCAGGAAGTGTGTGAGAGTCTTATCTCCAATAAACAACTCAGAAAATCGGACGTGGCACGGTAGCTCAAGTGGTAAAGTGCTAGCCTTGAGCTGAAGAGCTGAGAGACAGCACCCAGGCCCACAACCGACAAAAAAAAAAAAAAAAAGGAAAAGAAAAGAAGACAAGACACCAAATCAGCCAAACAGATACCTTATTTAGTCTTTATCACACAGACAAGGGCCTGTAGGGCCACAAAGGAGGAACTAATTATGTGTTCCTCCCTTGGGTTCATCAAAACAATCAAAATGGAATTTTAAAGTTCACAATTTCAAGGCTGGGAACATAGCTCAAGTACTAGAATAGCTGCCTAGCAAGTTTAAGGCCCTAAGTTCAAACCTGAGTACCATCAACCAACCATTAACCAACCAGTCAACCACCCAATCAATCAACCAATCAATAGTGAGCATCTTTTGGGGGAGTAGGGAGGTAGGGGTTGCTGCTACATCCTTAGCCAGTCTTATTTTTGAATGCAGATAGTTACAATTTGCTACTGACTCCATTTTCAAAAACACTGGAGGAGTTCTGTGTGAACTCTTTGTGACCTGAAGAAATTAATCAGACACCACCATCACCATCACCACTAGGTGCCACAAAGGACTCAACATCCATGTTCCCCAAGCAATGCCCATTCCCGGTTGTTCTATCTACAACATCTATCCTACTTCATATGCTACGTGTTCACTGGTTCTTTACACTCTACCTTTTCCCACAGGAATAGGTTCAGGTTTGCTTTCATAAACAATATAGCTGGGGCTGGGAAGGTGGCTCAGTGGTAGAGTGCTTGCCTTGCAAGCCAGAGGCCCTGGGTTCGATTCCTCAGCACCACATAAGCAAAAAGAAAAAAAACGGAAGTGGCGCTGTGGCTCAAGTGGTAGAGTGCTAGCCTTGAGCTGAAGAGCTGAAGGACAGCGCCCAGGCCCAGAGTTCAGGCCCCACGACTGGACCCCCCCCCAAAAAATAAATAAACAATATAGCCTATGATATATGAATGGTTATGAAGTGAACATGAGTTCAGCTATTTTACAACATGGTATTTCATAGCTCAGATACGTAACTATCAGCATAGGAGGTAAGTAGTTAAATGCACATGGGGTTAAGTTTCCTACGCTAATGCAAATATGCTAGGGCTTTAATGCTGTGCAGCTTTTATACAATGAATGCAAGACAGAGCTGAATAATCTGTGGTAATATACTTCTACCTTAAGCACAATTCAAACAGTGAAATGTTTCCTATTAAGTCATTAAAACAAGATTATCTTGTTACTTGCAACTCCTAAAAAAATAAAACAATGTTCCAGATAATTTTCCAGATGATCACGTTAGAAAACACCTTTCCTGGGCTGGGAAGGTGGCTTAGTGGTAGAGCGCTTGTTTTGCATGCATGAAGCCCTGGGTTCAATTCCTTAGCACCACATAAGCAAAAAGAAAAAAAGCCAGAAGTGGCGCTGTGGCTCAAGTGGTAGAGCGCCAGCCTTGAGCTGAAGAGCTGAGGGACAGCGCCCAGGCCCAGAGTTCAGGCCCCACGACCAGACCTAAAAAAAAAACAAAAACAAAAAAACACCTTTCCCTAGCTTATGATACATCTTCTTTTAGAATTTGAACCAATATTTTGGTTGTTCACCAAACTGTAATTAGTACTACTACCCACTGTTCCCACAAGAAACACCAAGACAAACAAAAAAAGGAATAACAACAAAGAAACAGCACAAGCATACATTTTAGGTAAATAGCAAAATAATAAAATTTAAAGTATTTTTTGGACTTTTAAATCTAACTTCCTCAAAAATACAAGTTCCCTAGATAGAGCATGTCAGGTGGACATGGACAGTTTCCCACGCTCAAAGCTGTGTGGGAACAAATGTCAGTTACTAGACACACAGCTAAAATACAACTAAGAATATGCCTACTTAACGGAAGTGCATGTCCATTCCAAATCCATATTTCCAACTACTCAAGGGATAACAAAGTAAAGAAGTTAATGACTTAAGCATGGGCACAAGTCTCAGTTTTGCTGTCACCTAGTGATCCTCAACATGTGAGAAAAGGTTGGTGGTATGACATAAACATGATAGATATAGCAGCTACCATTATCTATCTTTGCCATCATACCATAACCAGTGCTTATGTTCTCTAAACCACGGACTGTTACATTCTAGGACTGGTAAACAGGTACAAAGGAAGCTTGATAATACCAGTAATCCAGGTGTGGCAGAACAGAGCTGTAATTTTCACTTGGGAAGTAAAAACAGGAGAATTACAAGTTCAAGGATACTAAGAGTTATATAGTGAGCCTGCCTCAAAAACAAAAACAAACAAAAAAAAAACAGGTAAACTCAATTTAGGCAATCATCATAGAAACTAAATCTGACGAACAGACTAAAGCAAATTCTTCCCCAAATGAAATCCTCATTGTGCCATACATGTTTCTCCAATATCAAAAACAACAATATTCTCTCCACTGCTTGGGCATTCAGAACCTTGTCTCATTCCCTCCAACAGCTTCCATATGGAGTCTCTTCCCTGATATGTTCATTTTATCTTTCCCAATTTTGAAACATTATATATTTGAGTTGTTTACAGTCTTTGCTTATTACTGTTATTTGTACAGTGTTCATAGACATTGAGTTGCTAAATTAAACAGAATGCACATTTGAAACTTCTGACGGATGATTCCAAATTGCTCTCTGAAAGTAGGCCTATTTACTCTTCCACTTAAATTCAGAAATGTTATGTCCTAATACTTGCATTACTAATGGATATTCAGTTATCTTTAATCTTTGCTGATCTAATAAATGACATTAAAATCGTTTTAATTTATATTTCTAATTAAAAATAAAATTAAGCCTACATGTGTATGAAGCTCATTTTCTACTGAGTTTTACTCTTATTAATTTGTAAGAGCTCTTCTAAAATTAGACCATTGTATGTATTCCAAATGGTTTTAGAATAACTTTTGCTTTGTGTGAAAAATAAAGCTCTTTTTTTTTTTTTTTTGGGTCGGGGGAGAGCGGAGAGCGGGACTACAGAAATCCAGTTTAAGTATTAAAAACTTTTGATTAAGGAGAAACTATGAGGGCTCTAGAAATGTGACTTAGTGGTAGAGTGCTTGCCTAGCATGCACGAAGCCCTGGGTTCAATTCCTCAGTACCACATAAATAGATGAGCCAGAAGTGGTGCTGTGGCTCAAGTGGTAGAATGCTAGCCCTGAGCAGAAGAAGCTCAGGGACAGTGCCTAGGCCCTGAGTTCAGTCCCAGGACTGGCAAAAAGAAAAAAAAAAAAAAGAAAGAAAGAAACTATGAAGCACTTTGATTTTTATTCAGGTAATTATTCTTTAGGCAATTACCTCTCCTTTAGAATAACAAAAGAACAAACAAAACCCACCAACTGGGCACCCAGCTGGTGGCTCATGCCTATAATCCTAGCTACTCAGGAGGATCTGAGGATCATAGTTCAAAGCCAACCTAGGCAGGAAAGTCTGTGAGACTCTTATTTCCAATAAACCACTAGAAAACCGGAAGTGAAGCTGTGGCTCAAGTGGTAGAGCACTCACCTTGAACTGAATAGTAGAGAAACAGTGCCCAAGCCCAGAGTTCAAACCCCACAACTGACAAAAACAAACAAACAAAAAAACACCCACCAACTCTGTTGAGATTTTTCAGTGAAGTTTTGTTGACTCTATAGAAGAAACTTGAATTAGTTTCATCCTAATATGGGACTTGCTAATCCACAGATAATTTATCTATTTATATGTCTGTTTTCATCATTTTTTTTGTAGTTTTCAGCATATAGATTTTGAAATATTATGTTATCTATATGCTTAAGTAATTTGTTTTAGATGTTACTGCATCTCATGTGGTAGAGCACTAACCTTGAGGAGAAAATGATAAAGGATAGCATCAAAGCTCCAAGTTCAAGCTCCAGTACTGGCAAAATAAGTAAATAAAAATCAGTGCCTAGATTAATATAGCGAAATATGAACTTGGTGACCTTGTTAAATTTAACTATTAGGGGCTGATGGTACTGCTCACAGTAGAGCACTTTCCTAGCATGTAAGAAGTAGCATGTAAGCTCCAGACCTGCAAAAATAAATTAACCAATTAGTTAATTCAATGGTTAGTTATGATACTTTATATTTTTAGAGGATTATTCTACAAAAAATTAATTTTATTTTAAAAAAAAGTACTATTTTCCTTTGGATGACCACTGTTTCTTTGTCTTGCCTTACTGGACATATTAGGATTACTAGCATAACTGCCACAAGAGTGATAACATCAGCTATCCTGCCTTCTTGGTTTTAAGGAAAAGCATTATTTGCCATTAGGATATTAGTTTTTTTTAATAGATATCCTTTTTCACATTGAATATGTTTCCTTCTAGTCTCAATTTTTCATCACGAGCAGATGCTAGATTTTCATCAAATACTTTGTCTCCATCTATTGAGATGACTATATTGCCTCTATTTGGATAATATGATTGCTATACTGGTTTACTTTCTCATACTAAACCAACCCTCACGTGCTTGTTCTTAGACTAAACCCTATTTGTTCATAATATATTGTTGGATTTGGTTTGCTAATGTTTTTTAAGATGTTTTCCATGTATGCTCACATGAGACAGTTTTTAGTACTGATTTTGTATAGTGTCAGTAAGTTGAAAACTGTCTCCCTTGTATTTTCTGAACGAATCTATACAGCATTGGTATGATTCCTTTCTGAAATATTTCAAGCTGGGCTTGGAAGTCTATAACCTCAGACAGTATCACATGTTTGAGGCAAGCAATGGCTGTTTAAAAAAAAAAAAAAAGCTGTTTAACCCTAACTATTCAGGAAGCTGAGACTTAGATGATCTCAGTTTGAAGCCAACCCAGGTAGAAAAATCAGCAAAACACCATCTCCAATTAACCAGCAAAAAAGCCGATCTGAAGGGTAACTCAAGTGGTAGAGAGCCAGCTTTGAGCAGAAAAACCTAAGAACCTTAGAATTGGAGGTCCTGAGTTAAAGCCGTAGTAATGCCACACAGGGAAGGGAAAGGAAAAAGGAAAAAGGAAAGGGGAAAGGAAAAGACAAAGGGGAAAGGAAAGGACAAAGGAAGGGAAGGGGAGGGGAGGGGAAGGGAAAGGAGGGGAGGGGGAGAAAGAGAAGGAAGAAAGGAAGGAAGGAGAGAAGGGACGGAAGGGAGAGAAGGTTTATAGAACACATCATCTACCATTAGTTTACTTTACACATAAATTGATTCTCACAAAAATTACTAATAAAATATTTAATGGAACATTCTAGACTGACTATAAAACTCTATTACTTTGACCAAGTTATTTGTGAAATGATAAATTTGAAGTCCTGTGCTTCCTTCCAGGGACAAGATCACAAGTATCTAATAAAATTACTTAAACCAGCCCACAAAATTACTTAATTGCTAAATTATTTAATTACAAAATTACTTAAATAGGCTCATGCCTGTAACCCTAGCTACTACTCAGGAGGCTCTGAGGATCAGTTTGAAACCAGCCCTGGCAGTAAGTCTGCAGAAGACTCTTATCTCCAATCAACCACTCACAAACTGGAAATGTGGAGCTGTGGCTCAAAGTGGTAGAACACTAGCCTTGAACAAAAGAGCTCAGGGGACAGTGTCCAAGCCCTGAGTTCAAGCCTTCTGACCTCCACCAACAACAACATTACTTAAACTAGAAGAGAGCAAGAGAAGGGGTGACATTGTCCAAAAAGAAAAACCTGACTTACATTAAAAAAAGTGAAACCTCTCTGTACATCACTTTTATAATAACAAAAATAAAAATTTATTTAAAAAATTATTTTCAATTTTAAATCTCACAATGCTATCAATGGAGCAAATCTCTGATCCTCTTTAATAAGAATAAAGGTGATGGGCAGTCCTAAGCAAGACTCAGTCTCACTTGTTGAGCTGTAAAAGTAAAACTTTAACAGGACCTTTGTGCCTATCACCTAGTGGCTGACACCTATAATCCTACTCAGGAGGCTAAGACTGGAGGATTGTGGTTTGAAGCCACCCCAGCAGGAAAGTCCATGAAACTCTTATCTCCAATCAACTACTCAGAAAAGGCCAGAAATGGTTCTGTGACTCAAGTGGTAGAGTGCTAGCCGTGAGCACAAAAAGCTCAGGGTCAACACCCAGGCCCTGAGTTCAAGCCTCAGGACCCGCAAAATTAATTAATTAATTAAAGGTACCTTTGCTACGGGAAGATAACTTCCTTCCTGCTGACTTTGATGTTTCTTTGGTCTTTTTTTTCTTACTTGCTTCACTTTGCCCTTGTCCAGCAGAATCAGAGTCAGAGGAGTCAAGCTTGACTTGACGATGCCTTCTTGACTTCGATGCCTTAAGAGTTAGAAATGCAATTAAGCACAATGAATTATAAAATAAACTAGATGAACAGAAGCACACAAAACAGAGCAAAGACTTATAGAAATACATGTTATAAAGTCCTTCACTATCGCACTTGCTTGGCTTTACATAATGATGGAGCATGTACATAGTTCTCTACCTTTGTAACAAAGTTTCCTACAGCTGTTTGCTATCTAAGCACACTGCACTAAAATGTATCTAGGGCTGGGAAGGTGGCTCAGTGGTAGAGCACTTGCCTTGCATGCATAAGTTCCTCAGCACCAAATAAGCAAAAAGAAAAAAGCCGGAAGTGGTGCTGTGTCTCAAGTGGTAGAGTGCTAGCCTTGAGCTGAAGAGCTGAGGGACAGTTCCCAAGCCCAGAGTTCAGGCCCCACAACTGGACCCAAAAATAAAAATAAAATAAAATGTATCTATCCTGTTACCTAAAATTGTTGGGAAATAGAAACATAAGACAAGTACTATTTTAGCCCTATTCCTAATAATCTATTCCTCAATTATTGATAACAACTTATTTTCCTTAGCTATTACCATGTGTTTTGAATGGACCTATTTCATAACTTAATCCAAGTCCCACTGTGAATAGCCACTGTGAACAACTCAAGGATAGGTGTGGATTGTGTCATAAGTAATGGAATTCAACTTTAGAACTGTTTTACCATTGGGAAGAAGATATGTGATTTCTTTTGAATTTAAAGCTGGGAACATGCAAGCTAGCAGCTGTGGTGAACAACCCCTGAAGAGAAGAAAATCATCAAAGAGAAATGGAGGATAAGTCTTAATAACATCTGATTCCAAGGCTAGCTAGTCAAGGATGCTCTGATTCTACCAGTCAGTACTCCCTTACTTGTTGAAGCAGAGTTTCCAGTTAATGTCACATATGCTATCAAGTTCTTAAAAAGGAACCACATTGGGGGCACAGGAATGGAGGGAAGAAGGGTGAAGAAATGTAATGTACATTATATGAAAAATGAACTATGTAACCAGGGTGGGGAGGGGAGGAAAAGTGGGAGGGATCATAAAGGGGAGAAACTAACAAAGAAGCATTGTACTCAGCCCAACTTATGGAATTGTAATGTCATTGTACAATAGCTGGTAATCTATACCACCTATACTTTTGAAAAAGAGAAAAAAACAGCTGTGTGGTGCCAATGGCTCATGCCTATAATCCTAGCTACTCAGGAGGCTGACATATAAGGATCATAGTTCAAAGCCAGCCTGGGCAGGAAAGTCCATGAGACTCTATCTGAGGATCACGGTTCAAACCATTAAGCCCAGGCAGGAAAGTCCATAAGACTCTTATCTCCAATTAAATACCAAAAAGCTAGATGTGGAGCTATGTTTCAAGTAATAGAGCGCTAGCCTTGAGCACAAAAGTTCAGAGATTGTGCCCAGGACCAGCCCAAAAAGACAGAAAAAAAAAAAAAAAAGAACAGTGAAAAACCTATAACCATGCAATAACACACATGTAATTATTCATAATTTTAAGTATATGATAATATCTTGATAAATATGTTAAACATCAACTAGCAATAAATTATAAAGAAAGGGTTCTAAGCTAGGTGCCGGTCACACCTGTAATCCTAGCTACTCAGGCAGGATCGTGGTTCAAAGCCAGCCTGGGCAAGAAAATCCATGAGACTCTTATCTCCAATTAGCCACCAGAAAACCAGAGATGGCACTGTGGCTCAAGTGGTAGAGCACTCACCTTGAGCTAAAGAGATCAGGGACAGTACCTAGGCCCAGAGTTCAAACCCCACGACCCACCAAAAAAAAGGGAGGGAGGGTTTCTAGTTATAAAGAATTAGGGATAATTATTATCCTCAGTGCTGTCAGTCAATAAAATACTCCATTAACTATAGTGTAGTAAATATGTAACACCTAGAAGAAAGCATCCAATTTCCATATTATCTTATTAAAGAAAAAACTTACCTGAGCAACAACTGAAAAAGCTCTTGATTTTATTTTTGCTAATGTTTCTGCCCTTTCACATCTCTGTAAGCAAAACAAACATGAAAGAAAAATAAAGCTGAAACACACAAACATTAGGTAAAATCATGAACCCCCAAGTATTTGAAAGAGAAGGTAGGGTAACAGGAAGTAACAACAATTAGGTACATACTGATACACACATATACATATAATAATCATCCTCAGTTATTGTTCATTGCACTGAGGTCTCAGGATAATATGCAGCAATGCTTTGGAAGTCAAGAGCCCTTGACGCCCATTAGCTCCTCATCTGCCTATGCCCTGACAGGCCCTCGTGTCATTCACCAAGAGAGATGACAGCTTTTGGAGCAGAAGCTTGAAGCAGCAGCTTTTTGAAGCAGCAGCTTGAGCGCCACTGGGCTAAACAGCTGCCAAGAAGTGAGAAATGACATTGTGAAAGCCTTCTCTTCACATCCGAGAACTCAGGCACTCCATGGACTCCTTTACCTCCTAAAAGCCATCAACATCCTTGCTCCCAACCCACATGGCATGTGGCTCTTCAAAAGGCATCCACTGAAGAAAGAACAGACCACTTTTTCACAAAACTCAAGATTAAAAAATGTTTGATATTTTTATAATACCGACCAAACATTACAATGCTTAGTACGATGGTATTTCTTTATACTGTAATTAGTCATACAACAAAGGAAAGGAAACCAACCACACGGCTGTCTATAAACATTTAACATTTCTCTTACCTCTGGTTCTTGGAAATTGCCTTCTTTCTTTTCTTCTCCATCTTTAAGCTTTGATTTTAAGGATGGATTCTAAAAAAGCAAAAATTATTTGTATATACTACATATACCCACGTTTATAATGCTACTGACTACAAGTCAATTTCACAAAACTGAGTATCGGTTACTTTTAACTACCAAAAAAACAAAAGATTATTTCACATTGTAGCATGGTTTACCATCTGACATCAAGATCACATGTAAGTTTCAGAATAACTCTAAGATATAACAATAAAGTACTTTAATCATCCTAACAAAGAACATCAGGCATATTACGTAGAAACTAGACTTTCCCTTCTTTCAGGTTTCCTAAGATTTTAATAATGCTCAATGAAGAGTTTATTAAAAGAGAATATTAAAAGATAGTTACATTAAATGCCTACATTATTTGTGTACATTGTGATAAAGTATATTTTAAAACTTGTCATTTTAAAAAATGGAACTATCACTTTTTCCTCCCAAGACTTTATCTACCACTTCCTTGTTGATTCTTTTCTAAAATTAAGACTTGAAACAGCTTTTTTTCACATGATAGAAAGCCAAAAAAAGTAACAACAAATTTTCCTGAGAGTCTCAATAGCTAGTATTTGTGAAAACACTAATGCATGGTCAGGTACTTATTAAAATAAAATTGAATCATTTCAAAAGTAAATTAACAAGAATGCCATATAGGTTTCCAGTGTGAGAATGAAGCTCCAGCATCTCCACGCTGTCATGGAGTCTGGGCAGCTGTAGCATCAATCCCTTGGGATCAGTAAACTGAAAAGTGAAAATGGTGCTGATGGTCTTGCAAGTGGATAAGCCACAGCAGGTAGAGCACGTAGTGTGGAGGCACATCCTGTCACACGTGGAAGCCACCACACAGTCCAGAGGCTGCTGCGACACGGGAGAGGGGGACCAGTGTCACCACACCTGAGTTGTAAGACAAGCTGGACTGGGGGAATATTCAACTAATTCAAAAAATATTTATTTGTTGGTTAACATATTCAAAATTTTAAACTAATGCTGGAATCAGTAGTGTGCCAAACAATAATTATATGCCAGATGTATCCCAAACATTGCCAGTTTCCAGCCACTAGAAATTACAGAGATTATAACTAACTTGTGGTATAACAAGATTATGTACTCACCTATAAAATACATACATCTAAATATACATCTATATTTACATACACAGAGATACTTAAAGCTAAATAACAGGGGCAAGGCCATAACTAAGAAGGCAAAGGCCTAAGTCTTCACTCTCCAGGAGCACAGCCACCAAACCAAGCTACGCATTAACATGGTCTCCCGCTTCTAAACCTCATGAATAATACACAGTAAGGCACTCAAAAGGCACTACTTACCTTCCTGTCTTTGTGCCACTGCTGATGCTCCAGAATGATGTTCTTAATATTATCAAAGAAATCATCCTTGATCAAGCTGAGGGCTTGGTCTGGCTTGGACTTATCAGCTGAAATCACATGTTTCATGTTCTGATAATGATCATGAACATTCAGCATTTCCTGAATGTGAAAAGTTAAGCATTTTAAATTTATTTCTCTATCCTGGGGGACAGAGTCTCTCAGTATGTAATCCAGGCTGGCTTCAACAAACATTACAGGCATGTGTTACTACACTTAGCTCAATTTATTTTTTTTTTTTTTGGGAGGACAGGGTCTCATTAGCTAGCCCAAATTGACCTTTAATTTTCAGTCCTGCTGCCTCCATCTTGCTGAGATGAGATTTATAGAAATGTACCATCATATCTTTATTTTTTTGATGAATTAAAGGCAAAACCAATGCAAATCACAATTTCATTCCAAACCAATGTGAGTTGACAAGATCAATATCTGTCATATTATGAAAATATAAGCATACAAATAAAACAGTACAACTTTAGCAAAGAAACTATTTCCCAAAGGTATGAATGCACTGAATTCAATCTCCAACTCTAAGACATAATGTTAGGGGACAACACTGGGGAAAGACTAGGTAATGTAAAAGTACATTCCAGTAAACAACAAAATTTGTAGTACAACATTCACCAAGTATTACCACTGAAAACTAAGATCATATTCTGATAATTGCCTCAAGAATATTTCCCTTATTTTCTGTACAACGATTCTATAGTAAATTGCAAAGCCTAGGCATCTATCCTCCAAGTTACATCCTTCAGTTTTATACAAGATTAAAGGAAAAGAAGAATGATTTCTGACACCATTTGTGACATCATCATTAATTGGACTTCTACCCCAGAGATTACCAATATAGTTCCCACATGTCTGAGAATAAAGAAGAAAGACAGTAAACTGGAGTAAGACATAAGAAACTGTGTAAGTCCTGGTGTAAAAACTGTAACATCAGCAGAGAACTATCAACCCTCTCATTACAGATGGCCCCTGTAACATCCAAAGATAGACATCATCTGGGTGGATCATCAACACCAGTTCAAGAAAGCAGAAACTGGTAATGGAAAAGTGCTCTCACATGCAGGATGTGCAGTGAGAGAAGGATGTCCAGCTACTAAATCTCATTTCTGAAATGTCCTACAACTCTACCAAAACCAGAAAATAGCTGGGCACCAGTGGCTCACACCTGTAATCCTTGCTACTCAGGAAGCTGAGATCTGAGGATCGAGGTTCAATGCCATCACAGGCAAAAAAGTCCCTGTGAGACTCTTATCTCCAATTAACCACTCAAAAAACCCCTCCAAAACCTGGAAGTGGTGCTGTGGCTCAAAGTGGTAGAGTCCTAGCTTTGAGCAAAAGAACTCAGGAACAGCAGCCCAGCTGTCAGCAGCAGCCCAGCTGTCAGCAGCAGCCCTGAGTTCAAGCCCCAGAACCAGCACAAAAAAGAAAATAAAGAAGAAATGGAAATGATTGGAAAAAATCATTACAAGAATTGTCAATGTCTAATAGTTATAATCTCATGGTATAATTAGCAATAAAACAATTTTTGTTCCACTATTTCAAGGGAATAGCAAACTTACCTCTAACACATCAGATGTGATAAGTTTCATTACACGATCATTTGGGTCTTTAAATTCTTCTGTAACTTCAGCTCGTTGAATTTTTTTCTTCATTCTATATGAAAGCTGCAATGATAAAAATGAATGTCTTTTTAAGTCTTTTATAGGATATTTTTAAAGTATTAAAATATACAAACAAAAAGCAGCCCTAAGTGTGCACTTGTGAAGTATTTATGTTCAACGACTCAGACTTTTGAAATATTCTGTTAGGTTCTGTACCATGTGCTTACAAACTTGGTAATAGTCACAGAAGTTACATAGTCTGCCAACTGATGGCACACCTAGAACCACTACTCTCCAACCTGCTGTCTTAATAGTGACAAAACTGGAGAAGTAACAGATTTTACTCAAAGTTTCAGCTTTTCAACAGCTAACATATTAAAGTTTCTTGGTCCTCCTTCGGTAAGTCTCTGATGTTCGGCTAACAAAAGGCACAAGGGGCTGGGATGCAACTCAGTTGTGGAGGAAAACCATAAAAGTAGGCATGAGGCTTAGGGTCAGATTTCCAGCATCAAAAATAAAAGGGAAGGGGAACATGAATAAATGAATATACCAAATCTCTTACTCCCATTTGCAACAATGTGTGGCATCTAGCAACACTCTACACACTCCAAACCTGAGGCTGAATGTTTTGTTTGCAGGGGTAAAAGTAATCAGACTATATATTTTAAGCATTAATGACAGTCTTTCATTTTTTTTGGAGCTGAAGCATTTATAGGAGATGAAGTGTAACTATTCATTTTGAAAAAAGGAATTATTCTGGGCAACATACCAATTTAGGCATTGCTGTAAAGTGGAAAGCTCTGTCTAGTCGCAGCTTCCTAAAGACATAAACTGCATCAAAATGCTGTGCATTTATCAAATCTTGCTGAAATTTCAAAACTTCATCCCAATCCTTTAAGGCAATTCTGACCTGCAACCAGAAAGAGAAAAAAATGTATGAAATTAAAATATCTTTTCACAATTGTAATACAACTTAGGCACACTGACATTTCTTGTTAAGCCAGTTTACATATCTACATATATATGAACACACATATATACATACACACACATATTGCTTGTTCCATATTTCTGCTTGGGGAAAACAGCTAGCCCCAAAATACCTTTTGTTTTGGTTGACACAGCTGGGTATTATACAGTCCATAAAGTAGATACAAAGCACCAACTCTGATCTGGAAGGTGTATGGAGGTAAAAAATATCGCCAAGCCAAAGCTAAAGCTTCTTTTGTAAATGTGTTCTTTTCTAAATTTCTCATTTTGCCACTAAAACACACAAAAAAATGATACCTCATTAAGTACATCAATCATAAACAGAAGCCAGCAGAATTACATACTTATTTAAATAGCAGTTGTGGATAACTGGAAACAGACTTCATACCTGATCCTCCCTCTAGTGATTCAAGTAAGAAGAGTGAATTGCACACCCTTCTAATATTGAGGCAGAAGCAACTATCAGTGAAACACCATACTGCACTTCAAAACATCAAACTCACTTGACAAATTGGAAAGCAAAGAAGTGACTTCAAATTACTGCTGGCCAAATACTTAAAAATATCTAACATTGGGGCTGGGAGGTGACTCAGTGGTAGAGTGCTTGCCGTGCATACTTGAGGCCCTCGGTTCGATTCCTCAGCACCACATAAGCAAAAAAAGCCGGAAGTGGAGTTGAGGCTCAAGTGGTAGAGCGCTGGTCTACAGAGGAAGAGCTGGGGGACAGCACTCAGGCCCAGAGTTCAGGCCCTACAACCACCACCACCACCACCACCACCAATATATATATATAAAATATAGCTAAGTCATAAAAAAAATTCAATATGACATACTGATAAACCTGGATAAAACAATCAAAAGATATATATATATATATATATATGTATATATATTTTTTTGTTTGGGGGGGGAGGTCAGTCGTGGGGGCTGAACTCGGCCTGGGCACTGACCCTCAGCTCTTCAGCTCAAGGCTAGCTAGTGCCCTACCACTTGAGCCACAGTGCCACTTACAGCTTTTTTCTGCTTATGTGGTGCTGAGGAATCTGATGCAGGCCTCATGCATGCAAGGCAAGTACTCTACCACTAAGCCAACTTCCCAGCCCATCAAAAGATAATTTAAACATAGTTTTCTATATAAGAGCTGGAATTTAGTATATTTTAAAACATCTATTTTGGGCTGGACACCAGTGGTTCACATCTGTAATCAGATCTAGTTATATGGCTGAGATCCAGAAGATCAAGGTTCAAAGCTAGCCTGGGCAGAAAAATTCATGAGATTCCTTCTCTAAGCTAAACAAACAAGTCAAAAAAAAAAATCATAGCTGGAAGTGTCGCTGATATGGTAGATGGTTAGTCAAGCAAGCAAGCCCACCAAGCAGTTGCAAAACCCCAAGTTCAAACCCCCAAAAAATTGCCTGTGTGGTATTTGGTACATCCAAGTAACTGACACAACACAGAAGTATATTAGTATTTTCATTTAATAAAAACAGTATAAAACTATAAGGACATTATCACTGCAGCCAATAAACAAGGACTCCATTATATCTGATTACAAGAAGGAAAGAGAACACATTGGCCCTCAAGTAATAGACTAAAAGACAAAATACCTACTATAGTACTGATGACCCAAGCAATTTCTAAAGCAAGTCCACCATTTCTGACTCTTTAGCTAAAAATTGGGCCAACCTTAGAAAAATTCCCTTCATGTACCCCTTTTTGCCAAGAAGGAGCACAGTAAAAGACTATGTATTAGCTGGGTGCCAGTAGCTCACGCCTTTAATCCTAGCTATTCAGGAGGCTGACTCTGAGGAACACAGTTCAAAGCCAGCCCAAGCAAATAAGTCTGTGAGACTCTTCAATAAACTACTTAGAAAAAGCCAGAAGTGGCGCTGTGGCTGAAGTGATAGAGTGCTAACCTTGAGCACAAAGAGGCTCAGAGACAGTGCCCAGGCCCTAAGTTCAAGTACCAGGACCAGAAAAGAAAAAAAAAAAAAAAAAGACTGGATTTTACAAACAGGCACACACATAGGTCCCAACATCTGCTCTGCCATTGTCTATCAATCTTGAGTAATTACCTTCTGTAAGTCTCAACTTCTTCACCTATGAAAAACAAGGAAAATTATACATGCTTTTCAGACTCATTCTATGGATTAAATTGAGCTACAAATGCATTACATTTTGTAGGTATTTTTTAAAAGTTAGTCATTCTTTTTTCATTATTGTACAGTAACTAAAGATCTTTTTTCTTAACTAGCAGCTCTAGATTCTCTACCCCCATCTATTGCACAAATGCAGTATGTAATTAATTTACATCAAACAACAGAAAGAAGCCCAGCACCGGTGGCTCACACCTGTAATCCTAGCTACTCAGGAGGGAAGGCTGAAATCTTGAGGATCGCAGTTCAAAGCCAGCCCTGGTAGGAAAGTCCATGAGACTCTTATCTCCAATTAACCACCAGAAAACTGGAAGTGGTGTTGTGGCTCAACTGGTAGAGCACTAGCTTTGAGCTAAAAAGCTGAGGGACAGCACCCAGGCCCAGAGTTCATGCCCCACAACCAACCAAAAAAAGGACAGAAAAAAGAGAACTTCTATATATTATTCACTAAAAGACAGTTAATCATAAAGACTCATTCAGTCAGACAATCAATTATTTGGCCTTTTTCAGTATATGTGGTACGCTAATAGGAAGGAACACAGTTCAGTTAGTTGCTGCCCTCAAGTTGTTCAGTATAGTGGAAGGAAAATTCTAGAATGGTAGTGAACATTTACTGAGCATATAAGACACAGTTAACACACATTATTAGCTCATTTAATCCTTACAAGCAATACAAAGTTGTATTGTCTCTTATTCCAGATCACAATAAGGGGACCCTGTGTGGTCCATCATTTGTCATGTCAGCTTAGCCTCTCTCTTGTACTGCTCTTCAAATACTCAATTACAATAAAATGTGCTGAATAGTAAGATTAAACACAGAGTGGGAGCAACAGAACAATTAGAACAAGCATAAGGGAGAGGATTAGTACTGGGGCATGAATTCAGGTCCTCTCCCTTGCCCTTAACCACATGAGCCATGCCCCCTGTCCTGTTTTATTTTTCAGATATGGTCTCAAGCATTTTCCTGGAGCTGGCCTAAGACTTATGAGCCTTCTACCCCCTTATGCCAAGTAACTGAAATTACAGGACTGCCTGGCACCACACAGCAACTGACAGGGCCAAAAGACTTCTTTGAAGAATTATCCTTTGGGCTTAAGTGTAAGTGAAGACATGTATGAGCAAAGGGAGTGGAAGAAACCTCAGGTTTAGGACAAAGGCAACTGCAGCAGTAAGAAAGTAAGTGCAGCCATGAACCTACAGCTCATGCCTGTAAATCCTAGCTACTCCAAAGGCTGAGATGGGAGGACTGCAGTTCTTAGCCAGCCCAGGCAGGAAAGTGCATGATATTCTTTTAAAAAAATTTTTTGTTATTATAAAGGTGAAGTAGAAAGAGGCTGCAATATTGTACAATATGTAATGTATATGTCAGGTAACGAGTGAATTTCTTTTTTGGGACAATATCACACCTACCCTCTCTCTCAGTTTTTCCCTCTTTTCCCCCTCCCACAAGTTGTTTTTCTAGTTTTTTTTTACCAGTCCTGGGGCTTGAACACAGGGTCTGCGCACTGTCCCTGAGCTTCTTCTGCTCAAGGCTAGCACTCTTACCCCTTGAGCCACAGCACCACTTCCAAGCCTTTTCTGTTTATGTGGTGCTGAGGAATGGAAACCCAGGGCTTCATGCATGCTCGGCAAGCACTCTACCAGTAAGCCACACTCCCAGCCCCCAAAGAGTTGCGGGGTGGGGGGAAGGCTCGTGTGTGTGTGTCTGTGTGTGTGTGTGTGTGTGTGTGTTTTCTTTTCTGGTACTGGGGATAGAACCTTGGACCTTGCACTTGCTCGGCAGACGCTTTGCCCCTGAGTAGCATCCCAGCCCTCCACAAGTTGTATGTATAGTTCATTTTCAACAGTGTCTAGTGAGTGCCCCTGCTGTAGCTGTTCTCCCTCGGTCCTCCCAGCAGTGATCTGCTTCTCTCCAAGGAACCACCAAAAAGCCACAAGTGGAGCTGCAACCCAACGTCTAGGGCACACCAACCAGCCTTGGGTAACGGGGAGATGAGGAGGAGCCGGAGTGCACACACGCACGGGCCGGGGGTCGGGGAATGGGCGGGGCCGCCACGCGGGCAGAGGCCCCGTCCGTGGACCGGGCTTGACGGGGATAAACCCGGGAGCGAGCAGCCTGGGGGCGTGGGATCCGGTCTTGGACGGAGTGACTGCTCGGTATTCGGAGAACGAGACGAGGAGGTGGGAAGACCCGGCGCGGGTCGAGGCGGAGGCGGTGGGCACAGAGGGCTGCAGAGGCATCCGGAGGCCGCCGGCCCAGCGCGAGGCCCGGGCGCCCGCCGGCGAAGGCCCGGGGATCGGCGCCGGGACGCCGCCCGCGGGCCGAAAACCGGAAACACCCACCAGAAGATGGTCCCGAACTTCATGCTTCTCCAGAGCTGCGAGAAATCCTCGAAGCGAACGCTGTCCAGCTCCTGGAAGCGGCTGAGCAGCGCCTCGCAGTCGGCCTGCAGGCCCGAAGGCGCCCCCATGCCTCCACGACCGTCGACCACCGCGCGCCACCAGCCTGCCGCCGTCACCCGGGAAACCAAACCGGGATGCCCCGCCCCTCGCGACGTGACGCACACGCGCGCGCGCCCCGGGACTGACGTACTATCCTCTCCGGGACCTTTAGCTCCACCTACATCCGGGCTCGGGCTGGCAGGCCTGGTGCTTACTGCGCATGCGACCTGGAATATTAAAATCAGCCTTTTCATTCCACTGTAGAGGTTTAGGCCTCCAAAGTACCCTTAGCCCAAAGAGGATTTTAGGCGTTCATTTTCCGCCTGTTTATGGAGATTGGCTTTGCTTTTGTTATCACTCTAGATCTTAAAAGTGACAAAAGTCAACAATGCAACGCAAGTCCACCTGGGAAAAGTTTTACAGGAGGTGCAGCCAGGAAATGATCTCAGTTGTTCTCTCTTTAGTCTACCCGCCCCTAGCGCGGGGCTTACATGTGGCTTTCTCCCTGTGGCCCTAGTAGTCTTCTGCAACCACTCAGGGAAGTGTTTAATAAAATCTTTTCCAAACAGTGTGACCCTCTGCCAAGGCCTAGCACCCAACCCAGCAGCATATCTTCCTGAGGTAGTATTGACTAAAAAGCCACTGCATACATCCCCCAAACCCATTCTCTGAAGGCAAAGTCACACTATTATTCTTTAAGAAATATGTGGTTTATTTGTTTGGTTTTCTGACAAGGTCTCACTATGTAGCTCCAAACTGGCCTTGAATTTTCTGGGGTTACAACAATGTGTCACCATGCCTGGCTCTAGTCAGGGCTTTCTTTCTGCCCCTGGACTACCAATTGGCTTCCCATTTCTGATGACTGTTCTTTTAAATATTATGTAGACAGAAAACGTATGGGATATGATAAGAAACACAGCAGTAAGATGGATATCTTCCTGTTTAAGAATAAAATTAGCAGCACCTCCTAGCAATGAGTTCCTCTAACCATCATTCTAACCAATGAAAAATCTTCTATCTTCACCTACTACCTTTTAAGAGCATCCTGAGCATGGATATGGAGAACCACAGAAACAGAAAGAAAGGTTATGTGGAAGATTGCATGAGGGATTTTGATGAGTCAGGCCTGGACAGGATAATATAGCAAGCTCAGATGTCTGCAAGTTGTTCATGACCACTCCATCTCACAATAATAGAGAGAGTAAGAATAAGTGTTTGCAAACTTTTAAAGTTCTTTTTTGGCTCTAGGCTTTGAACTCAGGGCTTTAGACTTGTTAGGCAAGCACTTCCAGTGCTTACGTCACACTCTAGCCCTGTTTTGGTTATTTTGGCAAGGATCTTTTTGTACTGCAGGCCTTGGAGTGCAGCCTGTTAGGTTTTTAAAAAGAGGTAGCCGAGTAAGAACTGCACCAGCACACACGTGGTATTCAGGTAAGGAGTAGGTTTATTCAGTAGACCTGCTGGGACCAGGCAAGGTTGGCACTCCACGTGGCTGGGAAAGGCCTGGGAATGAGAGAGAGCTAGGAAAGAGAGGAAAGAGCTAGAGCAGAGAGCAGAAAGAGAGAGGTAAGAACAGAGAGAGAGCTAGAATAGAAGAGAGAGAGAGCTAGAAATGAACAGAGAGAGCAGAGAGCTAGAAACAAACAGAGAGAGAGGTAGAATAGAACAGAGTGAGCTAGAATAGAACAGAGAGAGCAAGAAAAGAGCAGCAAGAGAGCGTCTGGGCCTGGGCTAGGCCTTATGTAGGGTATGGGCGGGGAAAGGTGTGGCCACATCAAATTCAGATGTGACCTCAGCAGATACAGATGTGACCTCTTCCAGGTGTCCCAGTTGCCTAGGTAACGCAGATACTGGGTGGAGACTTTGCTGCGAGGAGGGTGGAGTCTGCTAGACATCCAGGAGCCGACCTTACACAGTCCTACTTTGTCTTCCACATAACTGAGATGACAGTTGCACACTACCACACCCAGATTGTGTGTTGAGATGGAATCTTGCTAACTTTTTGCCATGGTTGACCTCAAACCTCAATCCTCTTACTCTCTACCTCTTGAATAGCTGGGGCTACAGACATGACCTATTACACAGCAGTTTCTTCTTCTTTTTTTTTTTTAAATAACAACTTGACAAAATAATTTCATGTTTGTTAAATCTGCCAGTAGAAATGTGGCTTAGTGGTAGAGTGCTTGCCTAGCATTCAGGAAGCCAAGGGTTCAATTCTTCAGTACCACATAAACAGAAAAGCCTGAAGTGGTGCTGTGTCTCAAGTAGTAGAGCACTAGCCTTGAGCACAGAGCAGCTTAGGGATAGAGTCCAGGCCCTGAGTTCAAGCCCGAGGACAAGCAAAAAATAAATAAATTTGTTATTTGGTATGGCTTACAAAACTGTTTATTGGGACTGGGAATGTAGCTTAGTGATAGAGTGCTTGCCTAGCATGTATGAAGCCCTGGGTTCAATTCCTCAGTACCACATAAATAAAAAAGCCAGAAGTGGGCTGGGAAGGTGGCTCAGTGGTAGAGCGCTTGCCTTGCATGCATGAGGCCCTGGGTTCGATTCCTCAGCACCACATAAGCAAAAAGAAAAAAGCCAGAAGTGGCACTGTGGCTCAAGTGGTAGAGCACTAGCCTTGAGCTGAAGAGCTGAGGGACAGCGCCCAGGCCCAGAGTTCAGGCCCCATGACCGGATCCAAAAAAAAAAAGAAAAGACAGAAGTGGCACTAGCATTGGAGCAAAAGAAGCTCAGAGACAGTGCTCAGGCCCTGAGTTCAAGCCCCAGCACTGGCAAAAAAAACAAACAAAAACCTGTTCATTGTTGGGTGCTGGTGGCTCATTCCTATAATCCTAAGAAGGTTGAGATCTGAGGGTTGTGGTTCAAAGTCTGCCCCAGCAAGAAAGTCCATTAAACTCATCTGTAATTAAACACCAGAAAACCAAACCAAAAGTGGAGCTGTGGCTCAAAGTGGTAGAGCACTAGTATTGAGTGAAAAAGCTCAGGGATAGCACCCAGGCCCTGAGTTCAAGCCGTACAATCAAGCAACAACAACCAAAAAAAAAGGTTTTGTCTCCAGGTTGTGTGTGTGTGTGTGTGTGTGTGTGTGTGTGTGTGTGTGTGTCCTGGGGTCTGAACTCAGGGTCTAAGTGCTGTCCCTGAGCATTTTTGTTCAAGTCAAGCACTCTACAACTTAAGCCTCAGCCCTACTTCCAGCTTTTTGGTGGTTAATTGGAGATGAGTCCCACAGACTTTGCTGCCCAAGGTGGCTTTGAACTGTAATTCTCTGATCTCAGCCACCTGAGTAGCAAGACATAAGCCACCAGTGTCTAGCTTATTTACTTTTTTTTATTAATTATAGCATCTACTGGAGGAGTGTGCTCATGGAGATTTTTATATGGCCAATTTTCTGAGGAGTTACTTTAAGGTAGGAGCCTTTCCTTATCTAATGAAGAACACTTCAAGAAGGTAAGTATAATTGTTATAAATTCTATGTAAGAGTTAAGCACAAAGCAATAGGAGAATTTCTAACCTGGCCCGGGTGAGGACAAGCTAAGCTCTGAGGAAAAGGAAAATCTTTGAGCTGGAGGTAAGAAAGGAAGGTGCTGTACACAGACAAAAGGCAAGAACAAAAGGCATGAAGATTAGGAGCCTTCTCTGCAAAGGGTGACTCAGTCCTAAAGACAGAGAACTCTGAAGAGATTTAAGATTTATCTCCTTTGAAACCACTTGCTTACATTCCAAGGTGGTTTTAAAAAAAAGATAAAGACCTTATCTTCTCCCTCACAGGAGAAAATCTGATAACATCCTACAGTCGCACCTCTTAACATGGGGGGAGGGGGGGTTCAGCAAATGTCCTGACTGCCAAGTAAAACTGGTGTTAAGCATGGTCTGATACAATCAGACCTTGTTTGTATAAGTGTATGTTCACGTTATTTACATATATATAGCAGACTCTTCCATTTTAGTCTCATGTTCGATTTACTCCTATCTGAAGGTGATCGGTGTTGCCAAATTTTAAGTTATTATTTCTTCTATTAACAAAAAGTAATCAAGAGGGTGAATATATCAAAATAATGTGCAATGTGAAATCAGACGCATGAAGCTTGAAGGTATGTTATAAGCATATATAGACATGTCAAAATGAAACTCTCGTTAGTATCAATTAGTTTAATTGATGCTAATAAAAAGCTGTGTGTGTGTGTGTGTGTCTAATCATACTCTCTATGATACATCACACGGAAACAAGAATGAATCCCGTAGGAAGTTCAACCCTCAGGCACTACATACACCCCTAAGGTCAACAGCAGCTCTACCTTCCTTAGTCTACAGTTCTTGCCTAGACACTAAGTCAATATTAAGTGAAGTAAGCCAGGCCCAAAGAAACATAGGTCCCATGGTTTCTCTTATTTGCAGTAACTAGTATATGTCTGAGACAAGCAGAGAAGGTCAGATAAGTTCCTGTTAGGGGAACCCCAAGATGAGTATTCAAATGTTTTTTGGATTTTTTTCCTTTCATGCAATTGTTTCTAACATATTTATAAGATGATTTCCATGTTGCTTTGTACGTCCCTCCCCCATGGTACAACCTCTGCTTTCACTGTATTTGATGTTGGTATAATTTGTGGAGAAGAAGGGCAAAAACAAATCATTTAACTAGGGATACAGGTAGACCCATTGCAACAATGAGATGTACAAGTTGTTATGTCGAAAAACGAACTTTACAACTTTGGTGTGGGCGGGGGAGGATCTGGTCAGGGGAGGAGGGAGTATGGGAAAGGATGGGAAGGGGAAACAAAGAGAAGGCAACAATGCTTGATAAGAAATGTACTCATCCCACCCACATATTGTAACTCCTCTGTACGGTATTCTCACAATAAAAAAAAATTTTAAAAAAAGAAAGCGTACATTTGTTGTAACAGCTTTCTTCTGTTTTTGAAATATACTTAAAATACACTCTCTAAATTCAATAATAAAGCCATAATTATAAAAAAAATAACCTCTTAAAAGTTTTGCTTTAGGGGGCTGGGAAGATGGCTCAGTGGTAGAGCACTTGCCTTGCATGCCTGAGGCCCTGGGTTCAATTCCTCAGCACCACATAAGAAAAAAGCCGGAAGGGGCG